ATTCATTCATTCATTCATTCATTCATTCATTCATTCATTCATTCATTCATTCATGCATACTGGGGTACAGGCCAGAGGTGCAGGGGTGGTGAGAGGATTCACCAGAGACAGAGTGGGGAGAAGAACAGGCTGACTGACATAGTACGCTGCTGAGGGGAGCAGCGGGCGGGTCAAGAGAGGTCTGCAGTGCCATGTGGGTCACCTCCGGGGTGATGAAGTGGCCCTCACTGAGAAGCTTCTCAGTGCTTTGCTTTAACCTGCTGCGCCACCAAGGAGGCCCTGGATGATCTTTAAGACCTCAACCCCAAGGAATGAAGCTTATGACAGAATCACAAACATGATAGAGGAGATGGTGTGGGAGCTTCTTGGCCAGCCCCTCTGATTGCTCCTGAGTCCTGTGTGTCCTGAAGGCTGGTGCTAAAGGTAGCAGAGGTCCCGTTGGGCCTGTTTGGTGACTTCCTTTCTTTTCTCTATCACCAACATCCCCACCTCTCCCAAGATTGCCCCCTGAGGGAGCTGCAGGAAAGAGTAGAGCCAGGACAGCCCCCCTCTGGAGACCCCCTGGACTTCGAAGGGCCCCCAGCAGGACTGGCTGAGTGTCCCTGCTCCTCACTGGGCTTACCCGGCATTTTGGATCCCTGTCAAAGGGCCTTGGGGTGAGGCACCTGAAGGCCTTGAGGGTGGTGAAGGTCTGGTGGTGGCCATGGGCACCATCGGGAGATTCACAGACTGCACCCCTTGCCTGAGCTGCCTGAGGCCCTTTAAGAATGCAGTCCCTACCTCGCTTTACAACATGTAGTGGCCAGAAGGTGCCAGAGGCAGGGATGTCTGGGAATGTTGGCAAGTAAGACTGAGAAAGGGAGGGCGTGTCTGGTGCTCTGGTGGCTACATAGCACCCTCTCCTGGCTGGTACAGGCCTGCCGGGAGCAGAGCTGCCCACCTCTGCTGCTGAGTCGGAGGTTTGGAGGCAGGTTTGACCTTTGACTACTCCCACTGCCCATGACCTCTGAACTCCTCTTTCCTGGAGTCAGGGAGGCCTCGTTCTCTCCTGCTGATTCTTCCCCAAGGTCTGAGTTGGCCCCGGTGTTGCTCCATCCTGCACAAAGCCAGCATGGGAAGCAGGACAGGGTGCAGGCACACACACAGGGTCTCCAGTACCACTGTGCAGGTTGCGCACTGCACAAACACTGGCATCTAAACTGAACCTGGGCATCCACAGCAAACCTTGTAGGTGGCACACTTACCACTCCCACCGTCCAGCAGATGGCAGTCAAGCATCTTGTTCCACCAAAATCTGATTATGCCAGTTTGCCAACAGATGTCAGTGAAGTGTTTTGAGGAAGGGGTGTCTTTTTCTAATTAACACAAAGGCACTGTATGGGCAAGCAGGAGCCTGAATCCACCCAGACCTGAGAAGGGTGGAGGCTGAACAGTGGGGTTCAGGGAACTATCCTCCAGAGACTCATCCTGCCCCTCTCATCCGGGACCTGTCTCAGATGCAGTCAGTGCCCCCCTTTTTTTTCAAAGCATCAGCTTTTTACCTACTTCTGGACTCCAAATCTGAGATTTCTCCCTTCTTACCCCACTCCCCACTCCCTCACTCAATTAGTCACCCAGTCTTGCGAGATTTCCTGGTGTTGCCTCCCAGGTCGAAACCTCTTCTCCCTGCCCTGGTGCCAGCGGGCTTTGGGCAGGCCTGAACAGATTATCACCAGCCTTTGGGTCACCACTCTGTGCCATTTTGCCCTGATCGTCCTTCACACACAGCTGCTGAGGTGGCTTTCCCCAAACACCTCTTTTCACATAAGCTTCTCAACTTGTGAACCTGCAAAGGCCCCTTCTACAGGAACAGATGGGTTCTGTGGGCCCAGGGGGCAGACTAGGCCTAATGTGAGGAAGGATGTGCCTGCTGTCAACCCTTTTAGGATGCTCTTGGCCACCCTGAAGGTGCACAGGCCTGGCCTGCCAGGGCAGGGAGTTAGCAGAAGGGCTCAAGGGTCAGATGGATGCAGTGATAAGAGAGCCCACATTCACATTCAGGCTCACCAGGTTCTCTGTCTAGATCTCAGCTGCCCTTTGCCTGCCTGGGGGAAGACTGTGCTTACAGAACTCTGGGGAGATGAAGTGGGAGGAGGAGTGGAAATAGATTTTCTTCTACCTTTTTTTTTTTCCCCAAAGATTTATTTATTTATGCATACAGAACTGAGGTATAGGTGAGAGGTGCAGGGGTGGTGAGAGGCTTCACCAGAGACAGAGTGGGGAGCAGAACAGGCTGACTGATGAAGTACACTGCTGAGGGGAGCAGCAGGCAGGTCAGGAGAGGTCTGCTGCGCCACATGGGTCACCTCCCACCTGGGCGGGGATCAAACTCATGCTGAAGTGCCTTTAGCTTTTTAGTGCTGTGCTTTAACCCACTGCACCACCAGAGAGGTCCTTCTTCTACCTTATTGTAGGGAGTCAGAAACCTGAGTCTGAATTCTCGTTTTGCTTTTAGATGCGTTGTGACCTCAGGCAGGTTTCTGGTCCTTTATGAACCTCCATTTCCCCTTTTCATAAATGAGGGTGTTACTATCTGCTTCCCAAGATTGCTGGGAAGATTTTTCTTTAACTTTTTACTATGGATACTTTTAAGCTAAGAAAATCATACAATGAACGCCCATATACTCATCACCTGGCTTCAAAATTGTACACTTAAGGCCAGGTTTGTATCTTTAGCGTCCGCTTTCTTTCTTTTTTTTTTTTAAAGATTTTTTTATTTATGCATCGAGAATTGGGGTACAGGCAAGAGGTGATGGGGGTGAGAGGACTCACCAGATTAGGGAGCAGAACAGGCAGATTGACTGAAGTTCATTGCTGAGGGGAGCAATGGGCAGATCAGGAGAGGTCTGCTGCACCAGGAAGATCACCTCCGGGGCCAGGGATTGAACTGGTGCTGCAGTGGCTGTGAACAGCTTCACAGTGCTGCGCTTTAACCCATTGCACTACCAGGGAGGTACCAGTCTGCTTTCTTAACCCCTCTCCACTGGATTATTGACTTTATTTTTTCTGAAGATCTATTTGTTTATACATACAAGAACTGGGGTGCAGGCCAGATGTGCTGGAGGGAGAGAGGATTCACAAGAGACAGAGTGGGGAGCAGAATGGGTGGGTATACTGAAATACACTGCTGAGGGGAGCAGCAGGTGAGACAGGAGAGGTCTGCTGCGCCATGTGGTTCATCTTCTTGGCCAGGGATTGAACTGGTGCTGCAGTGACTGCTGACAGCTTCACAGTGCTATCAGGAAGGCCCCTCCACTGGATTATTTAAGAGCAAATTTTGGACAAAAAATCATTCATCTAAAAATATACTTTAATATGTCTTTACAAGAAATAAGAATTCCTTTTTATTTTCTTATGAGATAATAGCAGTACCATTATCACACCTAACAAATTAATAATTATTCCTACTTTTCTCTATATTTATTTTGGTCCTAGGGACATGACTGTATATAATTGTTAAAACCCCTAATAATGTACAGGACATGAGGATGGATAATAATTATTTAATAGTAAAAGCTTTTGGTTTTCATTGACTTTCTCATAAATGTCTTCTCAAAGCACATCTGCTCAAATATTGGTCTTCTGAACCTTTTATTTTTTTTTTAAGATTTATTTATTTATGCATAAGGAACTGGGGTACAGGCCAGAGGTACAGGGGCGGTGAGAGGCTTCACCAGAGACAGAGTGGGGAGCAGAACAGGCAGATCCACGAAGTACACTGCTGAGGGGAGCAGCGGGCGGGTCAGGAGAGGTCTGCCGCGCCATGTGGTCACTCCGGGACCAGGGACAGAACTCGCACTGAAGTGCTGGGCTTTAACTCGTTGCACCACCAGGGAAGGCCCTTCTGTCCCTTTTAATGGACTTCACTTCCCTTATTTTTTTTTTCTAATTTATTAATTGAAGAAATCAGATCATTTCTCTGGTAGTTTTTCAGTTTGGATTTCGCAGATGGCATTCCTCTGATATCACTTAACATGGTCCCTGCCCCACCATGTTTCTATAGGGGTAGGTAACTTGGACCCCCAGCCAGGTTCAGCTGCAGGAGACGAATGGTTGAGGGGCACCATCCAGAGTTGGGTACACAGAGGCTGTTAGCTTGGGGAGGGATGACAAGGAGCGTGCATGGGGAGCTCGGCAGCCTCACGGAGTACGTGCTGTCTGGCTGGTAGCTGTCATAAAGGCCTCGGGACCTGTGGGGTTTGTAGGGAGACGGTGAAAGACAGAGCGGGGGTTCTATCTGTTTGATCTGCGGATTGGGTCATCCATTCCTGCACTCCCTGTAGGGCGTGGAGGCCTATTCCAGGCCCTATGTCAGCTCTTGAAAACTGATGTGTCCCCCAACCCACTTTTCTGTTTCTGCTGACTCTTTTGCCACAACTGCTACCCTCCCTCATCCTGGGCACACTGGATGCTGCTAAAACCTCAGGAGCTGCTAAAACCTCAGGAGCCGTAAATCCCATTGACTTAGTGCAATAATGCAGTTGCAGGTGTCTTTGCTCAGCTCAGCAGGATCAACACGCGCCCTATCCCTGTCCCTCAGGCACAGTTCACCTCACTCCACGCCACAGGGCCGTCTGCCGGTGTGTGTGTGTGTGTGTGTAACAGGTCTGGACGGGTTGTCTCCCTTCCCTTCCCGAGCAGGTTCGAGAGCTGAGTGATGCTGAGTTCCCCCACTCCTTCCTGGTGTCCGGGAAGCAGCGCACCCTGGAGCTGCAAGCTCGGTAGGCAGCCGGTCACCAGGGAGCGGGAAAACTGGGCGGGGCTCTCGCAACACCCATGTTCAATTTCTGCACAGGTCCCAGGAGGAAATGACATCCTGGATACAGGTAGCGGAACATTCCGGGACCCCTGACCCGAAGCCACCCAGGCTGAGGGGTTCACAGGGGTGCACGTGCTCCCAGCTGCTTTCTGCTCTTCCTCAGGTCTTGCTCTGTGGGGTTGGTGTCAGACCTGGCTTCTCATCTCGATGCTTCTCACTGCTTTGCTGGGTGGCCTGGAGCAAGCTACCATTCCCTGTCTCAGTCCCAGTCACATCTGAAATCTGAGGCTAATAGCACCCCCTCCTTTATGTCAGCCGATGGCGCCCAGTGTCTGACACCCAGTGGGCCTTCAGCAGTGTTTGTTGCGTGTGTGGCAGCATAAATGGATGAGCAAGTCCTTCCTGACAGCCTTCTACGCACCCCCACCCCAGGCCTGCCAAGCAGCCATTGACCAAGTCGAGAAGCGGAATGAAACGTTCAAGGTTGCCAGCCAGGGCCCTGAGGGAGACATCCAGGATGAGGAGGTACACGGTGCTTGTGGTCCTCAGGGGCTGCTTGCTGCCTGTCCTTGCTCTACCCAGACCAGCTTGGAGGGCATGGGAGTCACCCAGCGGGAGTGATTTGAAGGGGCCCGTGGAAGCCTGCTCACTCCTGCATCATCCTTCTTACCAACTCAGTGCCACAGGCTCCCCCATTAGCCAATATATATATATGTATATCTCCTTTGGGAGCCGCTACACTCAAGTATCTCAGGGCAGGATTTTAAGTCTCTGAAGTGCTGGGTGTGGGAGTGATGCAAGCCTGGGTGTGAGAGAGGGAGAATATCTCTGACTTGGTTTCAAATCTGAGCTTCAAACTCGGCTTGCGGAATGTCTTTGCTGAGTCACTTGACTTCTCTGGGCCTCAGTTTCCTCCCCTGTAACACAGGAATAAGTAACTGCCCCAACACACTGCCCAGCGTTCAGCCAGCTTCATGTAGAAGTCACAACCCGTAACCGCAGCCACAAGCAGGTGTACAGGGGGTCCCCGGGAGTGGACAAAAGAGGGTCCTGAGTGTCCACCCCACTGCCCAACAGCTGCAGTCGGAGGAGCTGGGCCTCCGGGCACCTCAGTGGATCCGGGACAAGATGGTGACCATGTGCATGCGCTGCCAGGACCCCTTCAACCCCCTGACGCGCCGGCGCCATCACTGCCGGGCTTGCGGCTACGTGAGTACCCCCAGCACCCCTGCTGGGCACACCCTGGTCTCCCCTCCCTGGCGACTCTGCTGGTTTCAAACAGTGTCACCCTCATCGGGAGTCACTGGAGCACATTTGGACCTTGCAGTGCCCAGCTGGGACGAGGGCCCGCTTGCTCTCTTCCATACCTGGGGAAGTGGGCCACAAAGGATGAGTGACTTGCTGAGACTCTCTCCAAAGCTGGTGCCGTCATAAGGCACCTGTGTCCTTATCACCATTTCCCCAGGCTCCCAGACCCCCAATCAGGAAACGGTCTTCTGGGTCTTCTGTTCCAGGAGCATCCGAGCCCCTCAGCCCCTCAGATCTTGCACCACCACATCAACACTGTGCCTGTTAAGTACCCACCTCCCCGACTCTCCCACATCGTATCTCTTCCTGATGGCCTCAGCTAACTGTCCCCTTCTCTTTCGGCAAGTCCTTAGCACCCCAACTGCTGATCGGGTCTGTTGTTAACTGCTACCTTGGTTTCCTCACCTGTACAACTGGGATTAGAATACTAATCTTCAAGATGCTAGTGAGGACTCAGGAAAAGCTCTTTGTCTTCCGTCTCCCTCCTCAGTCACTCATCATCCTCACACAGGAGGATGAGCCACTGCCTGGCTGAGGAAACCATCCATTCCTCCCTCTTATCAACTCTGGCCACTTGCTTGGCTTTTTAAGCACCTGCTGTCTTTACCCTGTTCTCTGTTGACATCACAGCCCCTTCCATTTACTCTACAAACAGAGAAGTCCTTTGCAACCTCAATCTTTAATGACCTCAGGGGGACAGGAGGAGACCAGCTGGGCAGGTTGGGGCCAGTCAGGGTGGGGTCCCCAAGATGTGTTAAACTGCCATCAGGACACAAAGTCAATTTCTAGGACTGGGACACACCTATGTTCAGTTGTAAGTGATGAGTTACATCCTAGAGCCAAATAGAAAGGATCTGGGGATTAGCTACTGTTCTTGGTGATTCACATCAGTAAGAGTTGAGTGGGTTCACATTTGTGACTCTGTAAGTAGTTTCTAAAACATTATTAAAATAATACAAGAAATACAGAGAGACACAAATAGTAATAATAATGCCAGGTACCTGGCTTCCAGGTACAAATAAAATATTTCTGACAACTAAACTAAATGTGTAATCCTTGGATGGATTCTAAATTGGAAAACAAAAAAACCACATACAGATTACAAGATGGTATTGATGCTAAATTTCCTGGGCATGATCTTGGCATTGTGGATAGGCAGGAAGATGCCTTTGTTCTGAGGAGATATTGGCTATACTAAGGGTGAGATGTCATGATGACTGTAACTTACTCTCAGGTGGCTCAGGAAAAATAAAGGACAGACATGGGAAAAAATGCTCATGTGGCAAAATGTTCATGACTGGTGAGTCTGGTGGACAGGTATCGTAGTAAGCTTTTGACTTGCCCTCTAGGTTTGAAATTTTTCAAAATAACACATTGGTCGAGGAGAGAATAAATATACGTGAATAATATGAAAAACGTAAATGTCTCAATAAATTTAAAAAAAGTACTTCCAAGACAGTGGAGGCCCCCAGTGTGGGGCTGCGTGAGGTGCCCTGTCCCCGTTTGGGGGTTTCTCATGCCCGTATATACCTTTGTACTCTGTGAGTCATCCTTTCGGTGGTTGGGTGCCCAGTTTCTGTCTCCCGGCCTGCCAAACGGGAATCCTGGCGAGGGTGGGGCAGCCCGGCCTCCTCCAGGGAGCCCCTCCCAGGCTGAGTACTCTGCCAGGCGCAAACGAGCTCCCTGACGAGTCTCCCTCCTCGCTCATCTCTCTCTCGTGCCCCCCATTCCCACTCGCACACCCTGGATCTCTCACACCCGGTCTTCCTGGAGGGCACATCCTCCAGCACCTCATGTTTCTCTCAAAGTCTTCTCAGGCTCTCTTTCCCCTGGGGTCCCCAGCATGAGCCACACTGGCCTTCTTGGGGACATCTCTGTGCTGGGCTGGGGGTAGCCCCACTCCATGGGGCACAGATACAGCCACTCCCTCATTTTTACATGTTTCCTTAGAACACGCTTTTTATTTATTTATTTGTACAGAAATGGGGTACAGGCCAGTGCAGGGGCGGTGAGAGGATTCACCGAAGACAGAGTGGGGAGCAGAACAGGCAGGTTAATGAAGTACACTGCTGAGGGGAGCAGCGTGCGGGTCAGGAGAGGTCTGCCACGCCATGTGGTCGCCTCCAGGCCTGGGGATCGAACTCATGCTGCAGTGGCTGCAGCCAGCTTCATGGTGCCATTGCACCACAGGGGAGGGCCCTGCTTAGAACACTCCTGAGTCTGCTTGAGTGGAATGCGGACTTTGCATTAAAGGTAAATTGGAGAATTGTAGACCTGTCCTGTTTATGGAGGGCCAGTCGCTGCCAGTTTGCTGTATGCCCTGGCCCCTGGCTGTCCCTGGCTGTCAGGAGAGGACAAGTGTCTAGAGCTGTTCACCTGGCAGGGTGGCTGGCAGAGCTAGGTGAGCTGGCAGAGGTGAGAGAGGGCTCTTGGAGAAGAGACTCAGATGTCAGGGCCCGAAGCTGCTCTCCCAAAAGGGGACTCAGAGGGGAGAGAAACTGAGGCACTTAGAGTGGGGGGATGGGCAGAAGACCCAGAGGCCCAGCTCAGCCTGCACGGCCCCCCTCTCCCAGCTGCTGGGCCTCTGCCAGCACGGGGCTCCCCCACCCCGCCTGCATTCTCCCAGACATTGCTGCTGCTTTCTCTGGTCCTAGCTGTCCCCTCCTCAGCCAGACACAGCCACAGTCCGGTGCCTGGGCCGCAGCCCCACCCCTCCTGCTTCCTCAGGTGGTGTGTGCCAGGTGCTCCGACTACCGGGCTGAGCTCAAATACGATGACAACAGGCCCAACCGAGTCTGCTTCAACTGCTACACCTTCCTCACCGGAAATGTGATCCCGGAGGACAAGGAGGACAAGAAGCGGGGCATCCTGGAGGTGAGGGCCATGCTTCCTCCGTTCAGAAGAGGGGGACCATGTGCTGGTACCCCCGAGGTGCCGAGGCACAGAGCGCCTCGGACACCCTCTCACTCCTGCTCTCTCTGCCACAACCCCCTCTCCAGCACCCCCCCGCCCCCCACCAGAGCTGGGCTTGTCACCAGCTGGATGCCACCTTTGGCTCCAGATTGTGCTCCATTGTCTCCCACCTCTGTGTTCCCGTGCAGGAAAAGCATGGCCTCGCTAGATACTTTCTGTTCACATCCGCTGGGCCCTGCCCCAACAGTCCCGGGTGCTGCTGATTCCATTTCACAGATGGGGAAACTGAGGCTGCAGGTCAGGGTCCCATTGCTACAAAGAGGCAGACTGGAGGCTATTCTAGACAGGACTTCAGTGGCTAGTCGTCCTGTCCTAGGTGCATAAACCACCCAGAGAAGCAACTTGCCAAGGTCAACATCCAGTTAGGGCCAGGGCGCTGATCTGCACAGATGTTCTCTCTGCTGTCCTTGGGGTTCTGCTGAACCACCCCCCACTTCCTAGGCACTCCTCAGGTGCCCCTCCATGCTGAGCAGCAGGAGCTGCACTCAGCACTGCTTTAAAAATATCCAACCTGTGACCCAACCCAGGTTCAGTTACCACCACGCAGCTGCCCAGCCCTCATTAAAATCAGGTCCACGTCCCACAGACCCTGGGAGGTGGTTGAACTCAGCTCCTCGGTTCACGTTAGTTCCTTCCCAGGGCCGTATGCCTGCTTTCCAATCCTCGCCATCCTTCAAGGCACAGCCCCTACTCACACGTGCCCTGATCACTAGACCTACACAGCCTGTTCCTGGAGAGGCTCTGGTCCCCCCTCAGGCTGCAGTTCTGTTTCCTGCAGCATCTCACGCGTTTTAACCTCCCAGCATCTGCCCCCAGGTCACACGTGGGGCAGCTTTGATGGCAGCGTTGCCATTGCTCAGCTGTATGACCAGAGGCCCATGATAGGATCTCTCTGAGCCTCTGCAACAAATCATCCTTCCTTGCGAGGTTACTGCAAGGGTTACAGTGGCGACTGTCAAGCACCAGATCGTGGCTGTCATGGAAGAGGACTCCGTTCCCAGACAGTCTCTCTCTGGTTTTAGAAGGGGTCCGCGGCAGGGTCCGAGAAGAGCCTCATGTGCAGCTTCCTGCAGCTGGTTGGGGACAAGTGGGGCAAGAGCGGCCCCAGGGGCTGGTGTGTGATCCCCCGGGACGACCCCCTCGTGCTCTATATCTATGGTGCCCCTCAGGTAAGCCCACTTGCCCATGCCTCGGCCTCTACAGTGTGTGTGGGGAAGGGGGCTGGGAGGGGAGTATTGTCAGCCCCATGTGTCAGATGGGGAAACTGAGGCCCAATGAGGAAGTGGTTCCTTCAAATCACAGTGTTAGTGGCCCTCAGAGCTGGGCCCGGACTCCAGGTCACAACGGTTTTGCCTTTAGGAAGTGCCCAGTTCTCCTCTCCTTAAATGGCACCTGCCAGTCCACCCTTTTATGTGGGTGTTTGGGGGCATGACTGTTACCTTCCAAATGACTGCTTGAGGCAGTGGGACAGAACATGGTGGACAGTGGCCACTCTTCTCTCCTCCCTTCCCAGGACATGCGGGCTCACACCTCCATCCCCCTGCTGGGGTACCAGGTGATCACTGGGTCCCAGGCTGACCCCCGGGTCTTCCAGCTACAACAGTCAGGCCAGCTCTACACCTTCAAGGCAGAAACCGAGGAGCTGAGAGGCCGCTGGGTGAAGGCCATGGAGCGGGCAGCCAGCGGCTGGAGCCCCGGGGAGCCCAACAGCGGGGACCTGTCTGACTGAGCCACAAATGGTCACTATCTCCTCTGAGCCTGGCTCCTGCCATGGATTGACCCTGTGGCCTCTGCCACCTACCACCCCAAGCTGAGCTTTCAAATAACTGATGTCCAGTCATCTGTGCCCAGACCCTGTGTCCTGATTTGGTTTTCAGAAAATATGTTCTTTTGGAGAAGGGGTGATCAAGCATCCTGGTATGCCCAGACAAGTGGGGTTCCTGGAACCAGAGATTTCCAGTGCAAAAACTAGGAAAGTCCCAGGTAACCAGCCTGAACTGTACATCAGTATCACCTGGGAAGCTTTCAAAAATGCCAGTGAAAAGATTAATGTGAAAATAAATGAAAATTTACAAGCACCAATGCCTGTGTCAATCACCAAGCATTCTGACCTCATTGGCCTGGCATCAGGTCTAAGTCTTATGTGCAGCCTGGGCTTCCCAGATGACAATAAAAGTCACGGCCTGTCAGGCCGAGCACCTGTCAAGTGCCAGCCATGGCAGTGGTGCTAGCTACAAGCAATAAAGATCCTTGGGCCAGGCGCTGAATGAGGTGTTTTACATGGGTGATCTCATTTTACTCCCAGGAGTCACAGTGCCCTTTTTCCAGATGCGGGTACTGAGTCTTTGAGAGGTTTAGTCATTGCCTCAAGGTCACACAGCTGAAGCCAGGCTTTCAGAAAACCAAGTGGAATAAAGTCAGCACTCCTGCCATGTGAGCAGAGCAATAGCAGAGAGCAGATAAGAACAGGAAAGAAAAGCAGGGAGTTTGTGAGGAAAGGGGGAGAAGACAGAGGTGGGAGAAAAGGCAGCACAAGAACACCTGCACTGGCCCTCTACTGGGGTGAGGCTGCTTTTTCATAAAGGACCACCAGGTGGTGGTGGTGGCCGCCTCCAGTGGCCCTGGCCCGTGACTGACACCTTTCTGTTTCCACTGAGCTCTGCCAGGGTTGTGCTCTGCCTTCGAAGAAGACAAAACAGACAAGTCATCATCTGTGCTCTTTCCAGGCTCAGCAGTTTGCCCGCCCCAACTGAGACCACCTCCCCCCTGTAAGGTGCTGTAAGAATCTAAGAAAATCTCATTGGCACATCTCTCTGGTGACTAGAACAGCCCTGAGTTCATCCCTTCATTCAACGAACAGTTGTTGAGCATGTCCTATGCTTCTAGAAATCAGCCAAATGTGATGCCTGTACTGGGGATACAGCAGTCAAGAGAATGACAAAAGTTTCTGCCTTTGTGGAGTTTATGTCCTATTAGTGGTGGGGAGGGGGGATATTCAACAAAATCAGTATGTCAAATACAGCAAATCAAGTGCAATGAGGGCCGCCCTGGTAGCCTAGGGTTTATGGCTCATCATTATCACTGCTGGGGCCTGAGCTCAATCCCTGCCAGGGAGGTGAGCCACAAGGCGCGGCAGACCTCGCCTGTCTCGCTGGCTGCTCCCCTCATCAGTGTACTTCGTCCATCTGCTTGTTCTGCACCCCACTCTGTCTCTGGTGAAGCCTCTCAGTCCCCAGCACCTCTAACCCACACCCCAGTTCTTCTATGCAAAAAAAAAAAAAAAATGTGATGAGTACTTCAATGGGGTGGCAAATCCTCCCAGACATTCCTAGCTTTTAAAAGAAAAGTTTCAAGTCCCAGGAAACCATTCCATTGCAGGCAAATCAGGATGGAAGGGAAGGGGAAGAAAAGAGAGCAGAGAGAGGCTGAGATCAGTGTATGTGTGCTCATTTTTAAAAGGGACATTAAAGAAGGACTTACTGAGTATGAAGATGCCTCAAATAGTTAAAATAATATTGTCATATGATCCAGTAGTACTAATTTTGAGTACTTACTCCCAAAATGTGAAAACACTAACTCAAAGAGACAAGTGCCTCTCTAGTCACTGAAGCACTATTCACAAAGGCCAAGTTATGGAAACAGTCCAATGCCCAGTCATGGATGAGTGCATAAAGATGTGACAAGCACACACACACACACACACACACACACACACGGGAACACTATTCAGCCATTAAAAAGATGATATCTTGCCATTTTTGACAATGTGAATGGAATTGAAGGGGATTATGCTAAATGAAATAAATTAGAAGAACAAAAAAATGACCGTATGATTTCACTCGTTTGTCAAGTATTAGGGGAAAAAAGCAAATGAACAAATAAATACAAACCATTCTTCTGACAACAGAATGGTGTTTACCAGAAGGAAAAGAAGGGGGAGGAGAGGGGTGAAGAGAACCATTGGTTGGTGGTGGATGGTGACTAAACGTTTTTTGGTGTGTGTGGTGTGATATATGAGAAAATATGCTTGTGCTGTAAACTAAATGTCCCTCCATAAAAAAAAGGGTGAGAAACTATGCTTGTGCTGTAAACTAATGTCCCTCCATAAAAAAATTATATGTGTGTGTATATATATATATATACATACATACATACATACATATTTATATACATACACACATACACGCAATATAGTCTATACATATAGTATATGTAAATACAGGAAAGCCTCGTTGAAAAGTCCAGAAGGGAATGCTATATGCAAGGGCCCAGGAAGACTGAGAGAGATGGGTGTCTTTGGGTGGAGGTGTCTGAATTAGTTTTAAAGGGGTGAGGTCCCTCCTGCTGCTTTTTGAATAGACTGAAGGAGGTGAAGGTGGAAGCCGTTCGGAAGGTGCCATAACGATCCCAGTGAAAGAGGAGGTGGCTTGCGTCAGGACCAAACAGTGAAGATGGTGAGAAGGAGCCAGTTCTGGATTTATTTGAAGGTAGAAGGGTTGGGATTTCCTCTCTTTCCTCTCCTTGAAAGCTGTGAGAGAAGGGAGGAGCCAAAGGTGAGTCAGAGCCGGTAACCTGAAAACATGGAGGTCACTGTTTGTTTGCACACACCAGGCTAGCTCTTGCCTCAGGACCTTTGCACTTGCTGTTAACGGACCCTAACAGAGATGAGGAGATGGTGGAAGGGACAGGCTGGGAAACAGCAACACACCAGGAGTTGTGACATGGACAAGCTATAGCTGAGGTGCCCACTCAGGAGCACATCCAGCAGTGAGACCCTTGCTCCAAATCTGGGCAGGGGATGTGAGCCTGGGGGCTGTCATCCTAGAGATGGGTTGAAAGTGTGATGAGACCATAGGAAAAAAGAGGTACGAGGACTGAGTTCTGTGCACCCCAACACCCTAGTTCTCAGTCTAACCACATGCAATCTAACCTTTAATGTGTAGTTATAATTCTGAGAATTTACCCCAAGGGGTCAGGCCAGTGTGACAAGACTTCTGGTGTACAGTGGTCCCCAGATTGGAAAGGGCATGTATGCCCATCCAAAAGAGACCATTAAATACACATGCCCATCGAGAGGAAAGGGATAGGTTCTCCTGCGACCTCAAAGCAGAACAGCTCCTATGTGAAGAAAAGGCTTCGATCGAGACATGCTGACCTGGGAAGAGGCCTGTGATGTGTTACATGGACAATTAATTATAAGGGACGGAGCAAGCATTTTGAAACATTCACTGGGTCAAGCACTGTACTGAGCCCTGGGTCGAGATTATTTCATTTAATTCTTTTTTAGAAGATTTATTTTATTTATGCATAGAGAACTGAGGTAAGGGCAGAGATGGAGGGGCGGGGAGAGTGGGGAGCAGAACAGGTAGATTGAAATGCACTGCTGAGGGGAGCAGCAGACGAGACAGGTCTGCTGCGCCATGTGGGTCAGGTCCATGGCCAAGGATCGAACTCGTGCTAAAGTGGCTGTGGCCTTAGCTTCCTAGTGCTGCCTTTAACCTGTTGCGCCACCAGGGAGGGCCCACATTTAATATTTAATAAATTAAAAAGAAGTAGTATTTTAGGATTCTCATTTGACAGATGAGGAAACTGAGTCACCCACGGTTGAATCACGTGTGTGTGGCCACATCAGGTGGGTAGAAGAGATGGCATTCCAAACCACCGTACTGTAGAAATTTCTGGTCCTGCTGAAGGAAGGGGTTTCCTATGCTCACCATCTGAAACACACATTAGACGTGGTTGCTTTGTTTTCTTCTTTAGATATCTCTTGTGGGATAGGGATTTTTTTTCAGCATCACATGTTACTTTGGCACAGTCATCTGTTGATGGATGACATTTGGCCCCCAGACCACAAGCACGGTGGTGGCCGAAAGCCACACGTACCTGGGCTTGTAGTGAGCTGCCTAGGACTGTGAATTACTCAGGATGTTTGCACAATGACAAAAGCCCCAATGACACTTCTCAGAACACATGCCTGTTTTTAAACAATGTGTATCTGAAATCACAAGAACCAAAGTGCCTTTCCTACGTTAATGGGAAAATAAAGGAAGGGCCTCCCTCCCTGAGGTGACCCACAGGGTCACTAAAGCATCAAAGCCAAGGCCCAGAGGCTATGTGCCCCCAAGCCACCACACAACACTGCCTGGGAGCTTCTGGGAGCTTGTCATTGAACCTTCGGGTATGGAGAAGGGGGAGCATGTACTGACCAGGGGATAAAGCAAAGGCTGGACTGGCAAAGCCCACTGGAAGCTCTTCTGGGAGATCCTGAGGTTGGAGGTTCAAGGGTGATCCTGATAGCATTGTATTCCAGGCCTGGCTGCACTGGACAGTGAAGATTTGGGGTGGGGGAGGGGTGTTCAAATTTTGACTCATCACTTTAAAAAATCTGGAGGTCCCCTGGGAGTCTGGGGGCTCCATCCTGGAGAGGGAGCTCAGTGGGAGAAGGAACAGTTGGCAGATGTCAGGGTGAGGCATCTCTGGAGGGCTTGGTAGACCTGTGTCTGCTGGAAGACTTTGCCTCTCTGCCTCCCCTCCATGCCTACACGAGGCGCTGACCCTGCTGCCCGCACCTGGGGGGCCAGGAACGGTGTCCACTCATTCCTTCCTTCCTGTCTTCATCAGCTCTCTGTTTGCGGAGCGCTGACCATGCACATATCCCCTCACTTCATCCTGTGTCAGTCTGTTGACATCACTACAAGCCCACATTTTACAAATGAGGAAGGCGAAGCCAAGCAAGGTCAAATAACTCGTCCACAGTGCCCCAGCCTGTAGTAAGCATCTTCTGATTGCAAAGTTGAACCACACCTGGTCTTGGTGAGTGGCGGCTCCTGGTGTTGGATCCCAGCCACCACGCAACCTCCCACTGGCTGACTCTTCGCCAGTCTGTGCCAGGGGATCCTTTTGTCAAGGGGGATGACCATAGTCCTAGCTCCCTGGGGGCTGGAGTGGGATGCTCTGAATGCATGTGTGTCCAGGACTCTAAACAGCAGCGGCCACACGTATTCATCACAGGCCTTGGTGATTATCAGCTCTTTTACACTGTGCCA